AAGTGAGTTATATGGAGAGAGAGAGAGAGAGAGAGAGAGAGAGAGAGAGAGAGAGAGAGAGAGAATGATATATAGCCTATTATAATAATAATTATTGTTATTATTTCTCTGTGAAGATGCTTAATATCTGTTTAATGTACTATAGCACTAAGGAAATAAAACTGAAATTACCAAATTAAATTTTTATATATTTAATTTGTTAATTTAAATATTACTGTTTTTACTGTATGTAAAAGAGTAATTTTCTGAAAAAAAAATATTACATTATAAGAAATAAAATGTCTGTTCTCTTTTGGAATATATTTTAAAATGTAATTTATCCATGTGATGGTAAAGCTGATTTGGTGCTTTCTTATTATTATTTCAGGTTATGTATTTTTTTCAGGATTCTTTGATAAAGTTGAAAAGAACAGAATTTATATATATATATATATATATATATATATATATATATATTACATTATTAGAATATTTTTTATTCTTTGAACTGCATTTATTCAAAAGAGAAATATATTAACTTACTGATTCCAAACTTGCTCTTTGTGCATGCGATCCTTAGATTAAAAATGGTTTAATTTATGTAAAAGTCATGGAACTGTGTTTTACATAGTTGTTTATTATTTTCCATCGCAGCTGATGTGCTATTCTGCCTCTGCAGCACATACTGTATACATCCTCTGTTTTGGCCTTATGGAACACCTGTCCTCACTTCAGGCATGAATGCTCGCTTAAGATGTGATTTACTGGGACAAGGTGACAGTTTCTGCTGAGGGCAGTTCAGGAAAAAGAGAAGGAACAGGCTACTGCACCTGTAACATGCAAGACTTTCTTGAAAATGCTCACCCGTCAAGAAAATGTAGCCAGCATAAGGTCACAGCGACAGGGTCAGGTGGGCTAATCAGAGTTCACAACCAGCAGCTTGCAGCAGCCATGATACCGACAAAGTCTTTTGACAACATTTCATTTCTCTGAACGTTAACACACGAGCTACATCGCACTAATTTTACAAAACATGAACAGCTACATTGTTTCTTGTCATTTAACCTTTATAGCTGAAGCCTGTGGGATTTGCTATAAGGAACAAGCTCTTATGAAAACCAAAGCTGTTTACTTCTGATTCGTTTTTTTGGATGGAGATTGACATTTTTAGATATCGTAGCTGTGCTTTCCACAAGATGACTGCAAAAGGATGTTGTTATAAGATATACTTTTATATGATTCAATGCTGAAAAGTATTAAAAATGCACAATTTTTTGCATCTTGTGTATTTTTTATTTTTTTGCATTAGAAGTGTGAAAAAGGTCAGAGTGATGGAGTAGCCATCAGGAAGTTATAAATCTCAGTTGACCAGAAGAGGAAAGTAATGTTACTGTAGGTCAGAAGGTATGATGTGAAAGTGCTTTTCTACCTCCTGAAATCATTTCAGATAAATGTTCAGGCTCAAACACTCTCTGCACAGAGAAAAAGCATATTATTTGGAGCCCTGAGGGGGATTCGGCTCTCAGCTGTAGTGTGATGTCCCTGTCGAACTGCAGAGTACACTGAACACTGGATAGTTTGTTCACTATGAAAAATCATGCAAGATCTCCTTGTGATGCACAATATCATTTGCGATGAAGGATGCAGCGGTTACGCTCAATCAATAACGCAACATTATAATGATACAAGAACCCTTCCTGTGGAGCTCTTGGGCTGTTAGCAAAGTCACCAAACAATCAATAGCTCTGTGCTAGTTTGTAAGCAAATTGAAATTGTGATTTTGGGGTATTATTTAGACATAAAGCTTAATAAAAAGGAAAATGTTTAGTTAAAGTAATCTTTTAAAAGGAAAATGCTTCCCTTGCCGCTTGCCATACCTAATAAAACTCTCTAATAAATATAATTTTCTAACCTTTTTATATAAATATTAAAAATATTGAATATATATAAAAAATATATATTATCTCTGCGTGGCGGCTTCAAACGGCGCTCTCAGGAGATCTACCATCTTCCAGTTTTGATTGAGGACGGTGGCCTCCAGACTTTGAGCAGCACCAACATTATCCAACAAACTTTTTTATTAAATGGTTATTTTTGGAATGGAACTCTAAATAAACTAAATACTGTACACAGTTTTAATTTATTTACTGATTGATTGATTGATTGATTGATTGATTGCAATTTGAATCCAATTTGGTGCAAAGAACATTTCACTGTATGTGATTCATTCAGTTTTTCCATGTTGAGTGCATTGCATTATGGGATAAAGTGTTCTGTACATTCTGTACAGTGTGCTGTGTTACATCACGCTCATTTTGACACATGTAGTGCTGGAGGTCATCTGGGTTTTCTGTGCATACAGAGAATCTGCATACTGTGCACAGAATACATACTAATAGAAGTAATGTAATATGCTATTCCGAACATCATTATTTTGCGATTATAGTAGTTCTGAAATTACACACCTACCTTGAACTTAGTCATGAAACACATTCGCAATTGATTTTATTTCTATAACATGACGTATTTTAAAGTGAAAGCATATAATAATGGCAAAAATAATATTGATTGGATAATGAAAAGTGCAAGAATGAGTCATTTGGTTTGAGGGAAAGGTTTGAGAAATAAGTGCATTTTGTTCTTCAGTCAAAAAGAAAAGTATGGTAGCTGGTTTCTGCCATGGAATAAACAAATAAATAAATGTTAAAAATATATGCGACTTTTTATCTCATAATTCTCTTTTTTTTCCTCAGAATTACGAGTTTATATCTCACATTTGTAAGCTATAAATTTGTAATTGTGAGTTTACATATCACAGTTTTTTTTCTCAGAATCCTGTGTTTATATTCCATAATTTTGACACTTTTTAGGAATTTAGGAGTTTACATCTTGCAATTCTGATCTCGCTCTCTCTCTCTGTCTCTTTTTTTAATTTTTATTCTGAGTTTATATCTTGCAATTCTGACGTTTTTTCATTCATTTTTTTTTTCTCATGGAATTCTGAGGTTATATCTTGTAGTTCTGATTTTTTGGATTCTATGTTTACATCTCACACTTCTGATATTTTTTCCTCTCAGAATTCTGTTCATATTGTCATATTGCATTTCTGAATTTTTCCTCTGAATTTTGAGTTTACATCTCACAATTCTGACTTTTTTTTCTGGAATTCTGAGTTCTCTTTTTTTTCCCACCACTAAATAAAAATAAAAAAGCAAACTGTGACTTTTTTTATCTTTTGAGAAACAAAATCAGAATTATGGTTTTATATCTTGCAATTGTAAGTTTCTGAGAGAACTGCGAAAAAAATCTGAATTGTGAGGAAAACAAATATTTATTTGTTTATTTTTTGTTAGAACTCTTCTTCTTCATCCTAGTGTGTATCCTGCGTTGGTGCAGGGTCCGCTTGTTTGCACGCCTTTTGCCACTTAGCTCGGTCCAGGGCATCATCAGGGATTTTTTGGTAGAACTGAATGTTCATTTATAACATATATATTTCAATTTTGATTTCATGAATAATTTGTTTCTGCTAGCTTTAGGCTGTTTTTGGACTGCATGGATGCATGCGTTTTTAGATGGAATATACATAGGCCGCTCTGAAACTCTCTGGGGTGGTTTAATTAAAATACACTTGTTAATTAAGTGCCTGTTTATTGGCTGTTCTAGACAGGTAAGGAGGAGGATAGCTGGATTAAGCAAATAAGCACGAGTTTAAACGAGCCTAGTCTTCACCCATCGACGTCATAGTAAAAGCCCTAAATCTCTGAGTGCCATTAACATCAGAACGCAGGCTGAATTACTCTCCATGTTAACTTAACCCCAGAGGTCTAGACGGGGAAATCTCTGGAGTTATAAACCCAGCTCATTTGCATACGGGATGTGCGGGATGTTGAGGTGGAGGGGTGCGGAATGAAGTGGAGACTTTTATGGCCTCGTTTCCATGGTAATTTGTGTGGGCTGGCTGGTCATTAAGTAAGAGCATGCTCAACAAAATGAGGTTAGCACTCGGCTGTCCTCGAATGAACCTCAGACACAGATCTCAGCATGCGATACACTGCAGATTGTATGTCTCAAATGATGTGTATGTCCACCAGATTGACACTTTAGATGAAAGCATACATGAAAATTTTGTGATGCAGATCATCTGTGAACCAGAGCAGAAAGCGGACAAAGGTCAAAGCTTTGACCTTGCAGTATACCAGAGGTCATCTATATTCTTTTATACGTATATAATTCAAAATTGTTCATATATTACTGGTCAAAAGTTTGGAATAAAATATGTTTAATAAGTATTTTTGAAAGAAGTCTCTTTAATAATTTATTATAAAATACAATTTTATAATTGTATTTTATTAAAGGGGTCATACGACGTTGCTAAAAAAGAACATTATTTTATTCACGAACAGCTTGTAACACTCCAAAGAGAAAGGAAAACTTGAAATCGCATCATATGACCCCTTTAAATTATTTCAGTATCTTTTAAAATGTAATTTATTCATGTGATGGAAAGCTGAATTTTCAGCATCATTACTCGATAATATGCTGATTTGCTGCTCAAGAAACATTTCTTATTATTATCAACACTGAAAACAGTCGTGCTGCTTAATATTTTTGTAGAAACAGTTATTATTTTCAGGATTCTTTGATGATTCTTTGTTAAAAGGAACAGCGTTTATTTGAAATAAAAATCTTTTGTAACATCATAAATGTAGCAGTGTTTATTTTCATGTTTGGTAGGTTTAATGCATATTTGCCGAATAAAATAAATAAATAAATAACTGACCTCAAACTTTTGACCATAATTATTATATTATATTATGCTATATTAAAAAATAAATAAATAATAAATCCTATCCTAAAGTATGATGTAACTTAATCCACCACATTTATATTTTGCATTAATGAAACTTCTGCTTACTTCTGTTCTTATTGTGGTAATCACTGTATATATATATATATATATATATATATATTCTTCCGTTACGTGAGAGACTTCTGCAGTGCTCTGAAGACTGACCTGTCTCTCCGGCAAGCACCTCTCACAGCATCACTGTGTCCTTGCTAAAGGTGCCAGCCAGGATCACAGACAGCACAGAAAGAGAACACATTGTCGCGCTGTAGATTAGCCATCATCGGTGCTCCATTTGTCAGACTGACCCATTTCCTGCTCCACGGATGCAGTCATGGCAGACAGAGCGAGAGATCAGCGTCCCGAGAACGAGGCCTTATCAATCTCAAACCCATCTTATGCGTATGTCAGTTAAATCACAAACATGGACTCACAAAATAGACTACATGTCTGACAGGTTTGAATGGTTGAGAGCTGCAGTGCAGATATCTGTCACTTGGGGGCGCTGTCATCTCACAGACACTGGTCAGACTGTTGGAGCATATATAAACAACCTTGCTGTTTTTTTTTTTTTAGCAGTTTCCTCTGATTTGCTGCATACTAATAAACATATACAGGTGTATGGACTTGAGAACCCCCTGAATCTATAACAAACACTCTGCAATCTGCATCTCCACTACAGCACAGTGTGAGACAGAATATCTATGTGTTGATCATGGCTCTGTTCCAAAACCTAGTTAGCTACTCTTCTAGATCTATCTATCTATCTATCTATCTATCTATCATCTATCTATCGTTCTATCTATCTATCTATCTATCTATCTATCATTCTATCATCTATCTATCTATCTATCTATCTATCTATCTATCTATCTATCTATCATTCTATCATTCTATTGTTCTATAATTATCTTGTTCTGTCTATCTGTCTATCTATCTATCTATTGTTCTATAATTCTATATATCTATCTTGTTCTGTCTGTCTATATATCTATCTATCGTTCTATCATTCTATTGTTCTATAATTATCTTGTTCTGTCTATCATCTATGTATCTATCTATCTATCTCTCTATCTATCTATCTATCTATCTATCATCATTATATTGTTTTATAATTATATCTATCTATCTTGTTCTGTCTGTCTATCTATCTATCTATCTATGTATCTATCTATATCATTCTGTTGTTCTATCATTATCTTGTTCTATCTATCTATCTATCTATCTATCTATCTATCTATCTATCTATCGTTCTATCATTCTATTGTTCTATAATTATCTTGATCTATCTATCATCTATCTATCTATCTATCTATCTATCTATCTATCTATCTCTGTGGATCTTCAGTGGCCAGTCAATAACAAATGAATAACACGAGGAGTGAAATAGACACACATGATGTGTGAGTGAGTCCATCAGCTGGAGGGTACACATTACTGCTGCAGCTTTCATTCTGTCTCTAAATGATGACTGCAGTCAGGAGCTGTTTGCCAATCATGGAAAACTCTAACAAATGAGGGGGTTGTCTCCTTGATTGAACGAGAAGAGTGTTTCCACTGACCTCTGCCGTCTTTCTGCCTGCCTCACTCCCTGATTGTACAGACAGCGTAATGGGGACGATTTGAGTCACTCGTAGAAAAATGAATGGGAGAAATCACAACGTTCAATACAGAAGCCATAGGAACAGAAGACCCGCCTTCTAATTATAACAAACTAATCGCCTGTGTTTTTTGCCCTGTCACATGCATATTATTTTGACCAGCTTAAAAAGCACATGACTGCTTTTTTAATGTGTATGAGAGTTATAAAAAGATGCTAATCTTTCCTTTCCGTTCTGCTCGTGTGTTTCCTGCAGTGATCGTGGTTCTCTATGTTGGGGTTAGGCGGCAGAAGAAGAAAGAGACTCTCATGACGTCCAAAGAGGACATCCGTGACAATGTCATCCATTACGACGACGAAGGAGGGGGCGAGGAGGACACGCACGCCTTCGACATGGGTACCCTTCGCAACCCCAAAGTCATTAAGGAAAACCTGTTTCGTCGAGACGTTAAGCCAGAGTTGGGTTTGTGTCAACGGCGGCCAATAGCCTCGCAGAACAGCGCTGACATCAGCAACTTTATCAATCAGCGGCTGCAAGAACACGACGGTGACACTTCTGCCCCGCCGTACGACTCGCTGGCCACGTACGCCTACGAGGGCGAGGGCTCGGTGGCCGAGAGTTTAAGCTCTATAGAGTCTGTAAAGGGTGAAATGGAGGAGGACTACGATTACCTCAACGAGTGGGGGCCTCGCTTCAAAACCCTCGCAGGGATATTCGGAGAACGATCAGAGAGCCAATCAGACGTAACATCCAGCACCACCACTGAAAACAAACACTGATGTTTTTTTGTTTTTTTTTCGTTTCACTTTTTTACACTGGGTTTGAAACAAACATAGTATCATAATTTTATTTGACCAGATTTCATTGCATTACTTTGTAGTTGTTCATTTTCACCTTTTTCTTTTAGTTTGCCTTGATTTCACGCTCAAAACAAGAGAGGATAAAGGAAGCCAGAATAAAATGCAGCCTTTGGATTATCTGTAAGTGAATGTTGGAGGTATTTTGGTCATATTTATTCAGCTTTGCTTTTCACGAAAAAAAAAAGAACCACATAAAAGATGCAAAATTTTTCTGACATCCTTAAAAAGTGCCTCAATGGAATTGGTTTGTTATTCTTCTTTTTATGGTTTAGCTTTGTTTCGTCACCCTTCTTAAGGATGAATGGCGTCGCTAACCGAAGTTGACCGCAACCTGGATTTCGAGCTTCGGTGGAAAGAGTTTTGAGGAGGAAATGTCTACATGGGCCTCGTTTGGCCAAAGATATTTTTTGAATGTTATTTATGATTCTATTTATTTATTTGTGAGTCTGTTCAGACGGGTTGTAACGTTTTGTTATGTATTTATGTATTTATCATGATTTCAAATCGAATATGAATTTCTTATTTTTGTGAAGACACAAGGATATTTTGGTCATATTTATTCAGCTTTGCTTTTCACGAAAAAAAAAAGAACCACATAAAAGATGCAAAATTTTTCTGACATCCTTAAAAAGTGCCTCAATGGAATTGGTTTGTTATTCTTCTTTTTATGGTTTAGCTTTGTTTCGTCACCCTTCTTAAGGATGAATGGCGTCGCTAACCGAAGTTGACCGCAACCTGGATTTCGAGCTTCGGTGGAAAGAGTTTTGAGGAGGAAATGTCTACATGGGCCTTGTTTGGCCAAAGATATTTTTTGAATGTTATTTATGATTCTATTTATTTATTTGTGAGTCTGTTCAGACGGGTTGTAACGTTTTGTTATGTATTTATCTATTTATCATGATTTCAATTCGAATATGAATTTCTTATTTTTGTGAAGACACAAGGATTTTCATAATTATTTGCTCCTCGCGAGGACATGGACGTTGTAGTCCCAAGAGGAACTTGTATAGACTTGTACTTGTTGTAAAAAAAAAAAACTTTAGGGCTAAACATGAGCTATTACAGTTGAGTCCTGTAATAAACACAGTTTTCTTAAATAAACACCACTTGGAAAGAAAAATCACCGCTTGAACATGTTCCAGGTTTTTGTACATTCTTAAAGTTCCATGAAGAACCAACATTCATGGAATCCTTCCATTGCACAAAATGTTCTTTTATAGTGGAAAAAGGTTCTTTGTATTATTAAAATGTTTTTCACAGTATGAAAAAAAGGTTATTTTTAAGAACTGTTCAATGAAAGGTTCCTTGAATATATATATATATATAAAATTGAAAACCATAGTCAACAGTAAACAGATCATTTGGTGCTTTTATCCACCCTTTGGGGCACTTTTTAAATTATTATTATTTGTTTTTTTTTGCCAGAGCTAATGAAAATGTGCTCATAATGTACCATTCAATCCATCATTCACGGGACATGAACTCAGACTGCTGTGAAACCCTCTCTGTCCAAATCAAACATCATCTCGCTGGCACGTCAATGGTGAATCGCTGTACCTGTTGCTTTTGTATTACTTTGTCTCGGGGCATGATCTAGGGCACTCTATGAATATGCAAATGACTCTGTCATTACTAATTTGCTTAACAACTCTCTCCATGGGGAAGTCAGGCAGTGTAAAAATCTGCTGATCTTTACATCGAGCTCCAGAGCTCATTAGACGGCAGGAAGCTACAACCGCTGGAAACACTTTGGATGTTGTGGACAGATAACGCACAGTACATTTATGTACAATAAAAGACAAAGGATTTTTCAGATTTACATTTAATCATTTAGCAGACACTTTTATCTAAAATGATTTACAAATGAGGAAACTACCATTAATTACAGTTTCAGCAGCATAATGTCACATACGTATAGGCTAATATTTGAAAACATGTGAGTTTAAAAGATAAAAAGTACAGTTGTAACTAACAACTTCAAGTTTATTAACCATATGTGACCCTGGACCACAAAACCAGTCTTAAGTCACTTGGGTATATTTTTAGCAATAGCCAAAAAAAACATTGTATGGCACAAAATTATCGATTTTTCTTTTATGCCAAAAATCATTAGGCTATTAAGTAAAGATCCTGTTCCATGAAGACATTTAGTAAATTTCCTACCGTAAATATATCAAAACTTAATTTTTGAGTAGTAATATGCATTGCTAAGAACTTCATTTAGACAACTTTAAAGGCGATTTTCTCAGTATTTTGATTTTTTTGCACGCTCAGATTCCAGATTTTCAAATAGTTGTATCTCAACCAAATATTGTCCTATCCTAACAAACCATACATCGATGGAAAGCTTATTTATTCAGCTTTCAGAAATCTCAATTTCGAGAAATTGACCCTTATGACTGGTTTTGTGGTCCAGGGTCACATATACTATCAACAGTAGTTGAAATGTTTATGCATCTCTCTGAGTGTTTTTCAAGGTTGCAAGCAAGGGCATCCAAGTGCATCAGTATCACAGATTACAGTATGATGCTGACACTATAAAGAGGATTTCCTCTTATTTGAAACTTGTTTACACATTTATTGTCTGGAACCATCCATTCAGAAGAAAAAATTCTCTACAGCTCAGTACTGAAGCTTGGCACCAAGACCTTCCCTTGAACTCTGTCTGTTTTTGTTTCTGTTTTCACTCTTTGCCAGACAGCGTATGCCATCCTGTCCTGTGGCATGACACTCAGACACTCATTCTGTCTCTCTTTCTCAAGGGCATTTAAGTCATCGTGTATCTGGGTTGTACAGGGATGGATGGTTATAGAGTGTGAATGTGTGTACTCGTGTGCTTGTGTGTTAAAGTAAAGGGAATTTTAATTTCATCCCATCTGATGTAAATTACGTTCAAATCTCCTGTCCTTGTGACGTTAAAGTCACGCTCTGAAAATACTTAATCGTGTTATCCAATCTCTCTCTTTCTCCTTTGCTTGTACTGTTTTTCATGCTTCATACAGAATCTACTCAGCAATCCACGTGCCATAATCTACAAATATTGGATTTCTAAACTACATTTGTAAGAACAGACTGCTCTCGGGTGTAACTTTGACATGACCCAACTCTGTTAAAAATGCTGAAAAATAGTCAAACATTGAATTATTGTAGTTTTGGGGATTACTATACTTTTCTGAAGCTCATACAAATTTCATCCTGATGCAGATTTATTTTAGTCAAACCAGCAAGCATAGCAGGTGAGTTTGATTAATGCATATTTCATAATACAGTAGTTCATACTCAAGCCCTATGCTACAGGTCCCATTTGCGTTCTTCCCAGCATGCACTTGGGTATGAATAATGAATATGATTGTTTTGTTTGCATGTTAGCCAATTTTATTTTCATCCTTGATTCTGTCACATTTAGTAACTTGTCTTGTGATGCCATAATGCGTTTATTTGTTCATTTTAAAAGGTGTTTAACAAGCAGTAATTGAGTACAAGCACATTGATTTCCGTAAAATGTACATTCCTCAAAGAAAACATAAGATGAGGAACTTTAAATACAATTTAAGACCATGTAAATAAACAGAATCAAGTAATTTCTGCAATTTAAGTTCATTCTAGACATTTATTTAAAATAAGCAAATTACTTCAACATAAAAAGCCATGCCATATATATACACAGTACAGTAAAGAGAACTTTATCAGTATGAATTATCGTTTTAATTTGTGACCACCAAGCTCTTAATAAAGATAGAAAATAATGAAATGAGATGATGTTTAATTAGTAAAGTATTTAATTAATTCAATTACACAAAGATAGCGTCATCACTTATACTATACTACACACGTATTCTTTAATAAGCTTTTCGTTGTTGTTGTATTTCCAGCAAAACTAATCCCATTGTGATTTACACCTTTACTGTGATACAGATTTTGGTCATGCTCACTCTGCCTCTCTCAACTCATACTTAGTCATGATAATGGAAGGTGAAACACCATCATATGACAGTGTGTGTCATACTGCGTGGCTGCGACAGAAGCAGGTCTATGTCTAAACATATTTTTATCTTGAAGTGTCAGGTAACACATCTATTACTATTAATATATGTGGAAGACAGTGTTACCCTGCAGAAAAGGTCATAACCTTGTCACTTCCCAGCTTGATAACATGCTTCTTGCTCAGGGAACACAGTGCCCTGTGACCAGTCAAGGACAATATATTGGTTTTATCATAGGATCACACATATTAGCAGAATAGACAATGGTCCAAGCAGCTGTCAGATTTTATTCACAACTTTTTTTTTTTAATGCTATAAATTATAGATTCCTGTCAGTTACACTTCTAGCCTGCCAGTGTCCCTTGTGACATTGTGTTCTAGCCTCTTATTACAGTAAGTAAATAAAGCTGTATCTCTATTGCGAAATACAGACAGGCTGATCAACTCATTAGTAAAACAACTACTGAGTCAGAATTCCTGAATGAACCAGTTTATTTGAGTTGGCACTGTAATATAAATTGGTCAAACTGTTAGCAAAACAAAACAAACTAAATCGGTTTGCGATTCACTCGAACGACTCACACACACACACATTGGGGCCTCATTCATGAAACACGAGCAGAACTAATTTTTGTGTACATTTTTTTATTTTTATAAAAATAATTTTTGAGAGTTGATAATCTGTTTAGCTTTTGGGTAAAATGCAGCACTTGTCACTGTCACTTTTTACCGAGCCGTCCAATCAATGGAGGAGGGGCGGGACAAATACTACACCGACCAATCATCCTACTTGACAACAACTGAACAACAACAGAGAAGCTAATGGTGCTGGTTACTGCATTTGTATATTCAGTAATATTCTTCAAAATGAGATACTAGTAATATGTTACTGCCGAGGATATTTCAAATCATAGCAACCAAAGAGTCTCAGCTAGAAAAAACGCTGTGCCACCAAAGCGTTCTCCAGCACCACCAGCTGGCCGTTTTAAAGACACACGTTTTTGATTATTTATTGTTAGGCATATGGCCTATTAGTGTTTTTTTGCATTCATGCAATATACTGGAGCCAAACCTGAGAAAGTAGACCATAATATTCCACTGCGTTCCTGGACACGCAATTTGCGTAGCTGTAATTCGCAGGGATTATGCTAATTGTGAATGAGCGTGCACGAGCGCCCTATTTACGAATGATTGGAATTCATTAAAGGGGTCATATGATGCGATTTCAATGTTTCCTTTCTCTTTGGAGTGTTACAAGCTCTTGG